AGGACCCTTGGGAGGAGCTTGCATAGCTATTCACCTTTCAAATCCCATTTGAGGGAACCCGTTTCAAAGGGTACAGTGTTGTTTGTGATGGGTGAATGAAGACTGACACCCTGGATGCTGTTGGGCTATGAAACATGTATGGCATGCCTAGCAGAGGATAAGCTTTCTTACATTTTGCTGCTAGATCAGAGGCCTGAAGTGCAAGCAATCCCTCCACTATAGAAAAGTCCTGCTTGAAAACCTCTGATCATCATTAAACAGCTGAAATGGGGGCATCTGGGACTTGTAAGTCCACTCGCAGGAGCCAGGAAGCCTCCTGTGATTGCTCCCTGCCTGACCAGCAGCCTACCTGCTGAGTCGTGCAGGACTAGACCAGGTGTACAGCTGGGAAAGCCCCACATCACAACAGTGGCCCCATTAAAGCATTTATTCCTTGGGATGACAGCCCGAATTTTGAATTCCTTTGCCTATGTTGGTTACTCACCTTAATGTTTTTGAACAGTAGTCCTCTACTCCCTGAGAGAAAAATGTATATTTAGACTAATTTAAATGCATTAACTGGCATACTCATTTTCATGACCTGTCCTTAAGGTGCAGAATGTTTCACATAACTTTTTTTAATGTAAATCGGAATTTGATATCCATAGGGTTGCACCTTGGGAATATATCCTGGACTATTTATTACCAAAGTATGATTGTTACTTGATTCAGTATGTACTCTGGTACACAGAATGCACTGTGTCCCCCTTTCACCTAAGGGATGTAAATAAATATTTTTGTAAACATGTACTACTTGTGTATCACAGCAGATCCTAAAAATCCTTACTTTGCTGCTTGTAAAATAATAAATAGCACATTTATCCAAAAGATGCAACAAAAGATAGAAAGGAACTCCTGCCTAGAACCAATTTCCAAATGTCTTGGTTACACTGAATCCTAACAATTTTCTCAAAATAGCTTTAATGATCTTATTTAAACACAGCCTTTTGCATACCAAATGAAGCAGCACACAATACACTGTGCAAGAAAAACTGGAGAAGCTGCAAAATGCTGAACAGCTTTCTTGGTAGCAGAAGACACAGACTACTCATCCTCGGGTGATCATGTGATTCCTGCCTCCCCTTCCCTCCCCACTCTCGGGCTGACAAGTGTTACAGGCTCACATGCCAGAGCTTACTGAAGCTCTTTTCAGGAGCACATGGGGTGGGTGAGCCATTTGCTAGCCCAGGCAACTTTGGTGGCTACTGCTGAAGAACGTCTGGATAGTGAACCTATCAATCCACCAGGTTTTAAAACTTGCTAAATAAAGTGAAGACTTCCAGTATGCCAGATTATCCTGATGAGACTTTCACAGTCAAGCCAAGAACTCTGCTCCTTCATCAGCTGCAGGAAGAGAGATATCCCTTGATTCAAAATACTCTCTTCTGGTGTCTGCTGTCCTCAAGTACCTCACCTGAGTTTGGCTAAAACATAAAAGATAACACAGTATGATCTAATTAAGTCAAAGGAAAGTGTGACTTGCCTTTTATCCTACAGGGCCAAACAGGAGAGATTTTAGCATCATACATACATTGTGTTGGTTGTTGTAGATGAAGTAAGCTGGTGCTCATGTATCTACGTCACAGACCAGCAGCATTTGTTCTTATTAGCGATCACTGGATCAACAGTCTCAGCAGAAAATCAAATCAAAACAAAACACGAAAGCTTGAATGCACTAAGTGATGAAGTAAATACAAGATTAAGAGCTACTTTTTCATACAAATTCATAAGGAAGTGGTAGATAGTAGGTGCATATGTTCCATGACACCTACAAAAAGAACAAATAACTAATGATGAATTTTCAAGGGGATTGTGCCCCAGAGTACAGACGTGAGGCCTCTTTGGCTTGCACAGGGTAACATAATCAGACCAAACTTCCTATAAATATGATGCCCCAACCAGGCCTTCTTAGATCAATGTTCCCAATCTACTTTGCTACATTGTAGTAACAGGAAGAAACTTAGTAACAGAAAAAGAGAGACAATATTGCTTCAGAGGGTCTCCAAATGAAGCACTTTCAGTGCAGGTTGAAGATGACATAGCTGCTGCAGAGCATGTCAAATTGACTTTGCCAGGTATGTGCCTGCACGGCACTGCTTTTTAATTTAGTAACCGGAATGTTAATTAGTTCTGGGAGTGTAAACAGGTTGGTTAAGCAGGAGTCGAGACGAACTGCCACGCGCCAGTTGTATAAGACTTAGGAGTAGACTAAACATGTACCAAGAATAACTAATCTGCTTTTCTGAACACCTATTTGCTAAATTAACACGAATGCAGAGTTGTGCAGAAGTCAGAGAGCTGGTAGCAACAAGATGACAAGGCTGTTCCACAGACCTGTGGGTTCCTGAAATAGTTTTTTCTACGAAAGTTTAAGTTGCTGATGCCTGGGGGACACCACTAGTGACAAGCCACCCACTGGTGCCATTCACCACTGCTCTCTGGGCCCAGTCATCCAGTCAGTTCTTAATCCACCAAAGAGTGCAGCTGTCCAAGCCACAGGTTGCCAGCCTTTCCAGGAGCATGCTGTGGGAGACAGTATTAAACATTTTACTGAAGTCTAGGAAAACTATATCCACAGCCAAATTCTGCCCTCCCAAAGTCCAAGGCAGCCGTTTTGCTCACCTCCTTCCCTACTTCACCGAGAGTTGAAAACACTATAATTTCTGACCACCACATTCTAACTTGTAATCAGGCAGCTCATTCCCAAAAAATGATTCCAAAGACCACCATTTCCCTCCAAATTCTGGTCTTTAAAACCCACCCGGTTCTCAGAAACACACTTAGGAATGATTTATTAGTGAAAAAAATTATGTGGACACAAAAAATTGTGTTGACTGCACAAGATACTGGTTTTTCTTCAGTAATGCATTCAGGAAATATTGTCACTTCATTTTTAGTCTATTTAATTCTAGGTGAGCACATATATATACTACATTGAAGTATCTAATTTGTGTACATCAGGTTATCCACATTTTACCATATGGAGGTATCACAATATTAATATCTATTTTCCTTAAATAGGCTACAGTTTGCTTAATCTTTCTTTCTGTGCATGATCTTGCAAGAGTAAAAAGGCTTTCATACAAAGGCTGTGTTTTTATATGCAAATCTATTATTTGATTACCCACTTTTTTGTCCCTACATTATTATGAATATTTCTGATGAATGTTTTATGGGTTAGGTTTAGGATTTGCAAGCTATTTCAAATTTTATCTGTTTGCCATATCATCTGCAAATACTGCATCTTTGTTGATGTTGATTGGTCTCATTTACATATTTATCACACTTTTATTTTCAAGGATGTTTTGCTATAAACTGTCTGTCCCCATTTCTCCTCCGTGTACTACTAGTAGACAGATGTATTTTTAAATTGAGCCCATTTCCATATATAATTTTTTTGGTTAAGAATAAATCATCACTTAGAGACAACCTATTCAATGCCTTCATACCTATCTGACATATGGTTTCTGGGTAATTAAAGATAACAGAAGCAGTTCACAATGCACTTTGCAACTCACTTCATAGACCAGAGAGCTCAGTGGTTTTCCATAAGGACTAGGCTAAAAGGAACTCCACAGGACTGGGGAGAAATCAGTGCCAAAAAATTGGCAACACAGAGCTGATCTCAGTCCTAACTAGGACTTTTATCAAGAAAAATGACCTTTTATGGTGGTGCTTGCTGGGTTTATGAGAGGTTGGATCCATAAGTGGGAAGTTTTTTAGTTTGTACATGCTAAGAGAAGACTCCTGAACCTACAGTAAATCCCTGAAATGGATCTCCTATTGCAGAAAAGGCCAGATACCATGTGAGCTTTACCACTTGCTACTGACTAGCAGCTCTTCAGTCCTTCTCATTGTTTGTTCTCCATCCATCCATCCATCCATCCATCCATAATCCATCCTTCTCCAGTCTCAAAATCCTTTCCCTTTCTTGGTCATACTTTCTGGTGTGTTTACTTTCTTGCTAAATTCCTTTCTTGTGCAAGAGTACAAGGGAGAAGGGTAGAAATGGTGCAGAGAACTGTCCTTTTGAGCTTTGCCATTACACACACAGCACTGAAAAGGACACTGAATTTTAAGTGCCCCACTCCCACCCAGACTCCTCTTGGGTGAAGAGCCTTTTTGTGATCCTCTCCTCTCACAGTGCAAGCACTGGCTGTGTTTCTTAGTCAAATATTGTGATTTGCCCATATATGAAATAAATCGGAAAAATCATACATGCCCAACAATAGTTTAGGTCGGACAGTGATGGTTCTAATTCCTGGTGCTAGCACCAAATAACCCATAGATTTTCTGTTGTTAAAGAACAGTTGTGAAGAAACATATTACTAAGGGTAATAATAATAATAAAAAAGGTAATAATCCTTCTAGTGGTGGAACTGCAACACATCCACAAGAGCATACTAATGAGTGTAAGCTACATTTGGTTCATCAGAGGTGTTCATAATTGCATCTCCATCTTATCACTAAAAGTCACAGAAATTAGGTTCTTACACTCTTTGTGTGCTAAGATTTTTGGATCTGTCACCTGTAAGAAACTTCACGCCCACATCTTGCCAGCGGACTCTGAACATGCACGAAACAATCCTATTTATTCATTATAGGGAAAGGGAATTGGCTGACCTGTTCTTAACAGGAGTGCTTTCCTCCCTAATCTTTCCACTGTTTCATTCCAAAACTCTCAAAAAAATCAGTTTCCAGTGATCTTCTGATACAACACTGTATTTATTAACTGCAATGACACTCCATGTTCAACCAATCCTTTGACTGAAGACTGCCCATTTGTTGATATGAAAATGTATTTGTGACAACATTTTTCTGGAACATGTGGTGTTAATAGAAAAAGTTTCTTTTTTTTTTTTTTTTTAATACCAAAAGATGAAATATATGAAGCTTAAAGATAGAGAGATGCAACCAGAGACTGCTGCTTGCAGTAAAATAGTTGTTGACATAATACATACATTTTCTCCAGGTCAAGAAGTCCTGTGAAAGCTCCTTTTGGAACAACTCTCATCTTGGTGAGGACAAATCTCCTGAAAATAGAGAAAATGGGGTGATTATTCTCTGTTCACAACACAGGACTGCACAGTAGTCTTGGTAGCACAGGAGAGGCTACAAGGCTACACTGGTACAGGGACAGTCTCTGGGCTGAAAGCTTTGGCATCGAAATACAGCTGTAATATTCAAAGCATTTGTGGGACTCCAACTGCCCTGACCAAAATTGCAGCACAGCGCTGGAGGACCACTGGGGCTCCTCAGGGGAAAAAGCATCCATCAGTGGTTGCCACTTCCCTGTTTATTTCAGTGGTAAATCCAGACCTGCAGCTGCTCTGTGTGCTGGGAGTGAACAGCGCCTTTCTCATCTCGACCGCTCTTTTGAGTGATGCTCAAGCACAAGGATTAAGCAGCCCTCTGGACCCAGATGGGGGTGAGATGTTTACGAGGCTGTAAGGTGGTACATCTATGCTCATGCAGGATAAACCTTAACCTGCTGCAAAGACAATTTAAGGAGTCAGCTACTATCTCCCATTGGTGCAACTTTATTAACTTTATTGCTTCTCACAATCTCTCTTCTAATTAGATGATAATGTGCACCAAAACTGGGACTTTGGAATACACAACTCGATCATAAATGCTCCAAGACAACATTTTTATCATTTTTAAAGGTCACAGAATATGCTTGATGAAGAAAAACCTTTTAAAATATCATATAAACCTTTTTGTTAAATTGGAGTAATCTCCTTTAGTCACAATAAACAAAGAGGACTAGAAAACTTCTGATGGTGCTTAACAAATGAAAGGGTTTCTACTACTCTTTGGAGAAATAAGGTGTTACCTGGGTAATTGTTTTCTTTCACACATTTAATCATTCATAGTTAGTGAGAACTGGAGCCCCTGGTGGTCTAGTGGTAAGGGCACGGTGCTGTCACCGCTGAGGCCCGGTTCGATTCAGGTCAGGGCCACTCCCAGGCAGATGGAGCTCGTTAGCCCTGTAGGCAATCCATCTACGTCCTAAGGACCTCGCTGCCACCGTCCAAGCTTGCTTGGCCCCTGCAGATGAACCTTAGGATTAAAGGGTGGGCTCAGTTCCGCGCACACTGTGTCTCACCTAAAAAATCCAATGCGTAGGCTGGAAGGTGTAAAGACCTTCCCTGGATCTTCGCTCGCAAAGACTGGCCATTATTATATTTATATTTTATAGTTAGTGAGAACCAACAATTGTATATATTATCATGACCTGCTCGTTGCAAGACATCATATAATACTGGTTGCATTGAGTGACAGTTGTTAAAAAAAATTTTTTTTTTCTTTAAAAAAACCAACAAACCCACCTGTGTTACATACATGAACATGTTACATACATACATACATCGCACTCTGTGATCACCTTCTTAGTCTATTTTCCCATGGAAATGGAAATTACTTTTTTTCCTGAATTACTATGGAAGTCTTTTTTCCAGTGAGCACATCTTCCAGATCACTCCAAATTATTATTGTCTCAGAACTGTTTTTGTATGGCTGTTTGGGATTGTCTTTCATCTTGTGTCTATGCTGCCTCATTGTAAGGTCTGCAGCAGGACAGAAAGGGGAACTCAGCCTGCTATTGCCTGCTGTGCAGTCCTGCAAATTTTAACACAGTGCTCAAAACAAGAGACTTTCTTACTGTTCACATAAAGTATTAATGCAATCCTCATCTATGTTTTATTTCAAATTATTAAGTTAGAATTTTCATGGGAGATTATCAAGTTTTAATCAAAGTTCTAGGGGGAAAAGTATTACTCTGACAGAGTACCAGTGCGAAAGGTTCCCATTTTTTAATTGTAGGTCTTTAGAAGAATCTACCCTCTCATGAGTTAATATTGACTTAAGCAGGGCAAAGTCAATGCACACCTCACCTAGCTCTAGAGATGTCACTGTGATTACACCAGGAGTGAACTTGGCCCCACACTTTCAAACATTGAAATTTATGGTATTCTCAGTCCTGAAAGACGATGAAGTCAATTTGGTATTTCATTATTCTTGTACTATCATTAATGTAAATCAGTAAGAGCTTCAACATACTGTCACACAAGAATTACAGTATTGAGATCATTATGCAAATGTTAGAAGGATAAAAGAGCTTCCCAGAAAAGGCCTATCCTGGATTAGGCAATTTGTAAAACCCTACTGAAAACAGGGCTGGTGTAATGCATGCAAAGCTACGGCTGTGCTTTCAGAGCAGTTAGGTACAATGGATCCTTGCAGAACACCCAGCAGGCTTAATGCTACAAAGCTGAACCATCAGGAAACTCTTTAACTTTGATCTGTTTTGAAATCTTTCTCAAACTCTGCTTTGTAGAAATGCAAGCCTAATTTCTGAGCCCTAGAAAGCAGGCTTTGTCTGAAAAGCCACCTATAATTTTTTTATGGCAATGTGCTAAAATGAATCCTCTCTCTGCAGGCTCAGGTCATCGGACATTTGCAATCTTTTAATTAAATACTGGCCTACACCATGCTTCACCACAACAAAAAATTACATTCTGATACAGAAACTAATGGAAGGAAGGGAACCTCATTCATAAATGGGGTTACTTATATGAGAAAAGCCACATCTGCATAGAATTAAAAATCAGACCTTGAGTTTCTTTATTGAAGACCCTGATATCCTGCATTAATAAGGAGCCACGTGTCTAATGCCCCGGAGCAGTTAAAGTAGAATTGAAGTTTAATAGCTGAAATCTCACATTTCACTTTAAAAAAATTAGGGTTAATTGTTTTTAAACATCTCTGAGTAGGCTAATAAAGTCAGTGTTAATGGTATAATGAACACTGAAAATTAGAATCAGCTACTTGTTGAATTATCAACTGTATAATGAATAGGAGTCTATTATAACTAGCCAAATGCTGTATTGTCAATAAATCTCATCAATTAGTCTCCAAGAATCAATCTGTACTTAACTTGAGATACTGGCTGTTCAGTACCAATTCTTTCTGAGGTACATGGAGAAATTAATTGAAAAGCATTTCCTTGGTTTTGTTGCTGGCAATATTGAAGTGTTAAAGAAATTAATTCAGTCTTTTTCAAGCATGTTTGCTTGAGACAAACAGTTAAAGAAACAAACAGTTAACAAACAGTTAACAAACACAACAAACAGTTAAAGAAAAGCTTCCTTTAAAAAACATGTATCTTAGAGAGACAAGCAGTATTTGGTCCTAAAAACTGATGTTAGCACTTAAACACCAGCAAGGAGAGCACTGAAAAGCTCTCAGTGAAAAACTCTCTTCAGTGAATGGTGTGGAATTGAAAACCTAGAGCCAGGTGCCCAACAGGCATGAGGAAGGTTAGATTGAAGGTTAGGTGATCCAAAAATCTGTATGCAAAGTTAGCCTCCAGGAAACTTCAGATCTCATCTCCCAGGGCTTTCAGCACCAGCCTCATCACACACAAGGACCCCACTTACAGCAGGCTTTGTCATGAGGGAGGAAGAATTGTCATCCCTCAATGCAGCCCTGGCAGCCAAAGCAGAGACATGGAATGGGAGTCCTCTCTTCAAGTCTTCCCTTACCCTGAGTGCTACAGACCCTTGAATTTCATGCCTCAGGAGGATGCTAAGTGGCCAAGGGACCTCTCCCTGTCCAGGCTCAAGCATCATGCAGCCAGGGCTAGACTTCTTGTGCCACCAAAGAAGACAAGGGGGAACTTACCACCCTCTCTAGAGGCCTTAGAGCTGATTTCCCTCAGACAAATTATAAAATTGATAATTACACTTTTTTAAGTCCAGAGTTTAGTGATGCTAATATTATTTGTGCTACAACAGGTCCCAGAAATCCTAGAAAGGACTGCAGTGTAGGAGCCGCCAAAAACTTAACAAATGAGAGCGCAGAAAGCAGAGGAAAGGAAACAAGCCCCGGATGGTCACACATGAGATGGTTATCCTACACTGTGTGAAGGTAATATACATAGCTGGAAATAGAAGAATGACAATAGTAACTATTGTTATTCACTATGTACAGAACTGTAAGACAGATGTAAATGTGGCCCATTATTTCTATACATGCCCTGATATCTGGGAGAGGTCTCTAAATTCTGACTTAAATACATCTGTTGAAAGTGATTCTTAGAGAGTTTATTGATAGAACTGTCTGCTCTAGTTCTACAATCACACTTCTACTTTATGGACTGAACATGCAAAATTTCGACAACTTTTTCTACTTTTAATTTTTAAGTTTTTTATATGCCTCTTTATTATATAATTTTTATTTGTCTCATGAATGTGTGTGAGTAAATTTCTCTCTTATGAAGCCACTAAAAATATGTTGCTACTTAAAGCTACAGCTGTCAGGAGTAGGGCAGAACTGTCTCCTACTGATTTCTTTATTTATACAGAGACATGTAAACCTGGTTATTTAGAACACTTAATATGAAGTCAGTAACACAGATGACTTACACTTTATATCATTGTGAAGAGCAAACAATACAAATACATCTTGTTTCTATATGGTTGTGTCTAGTATGAGAGAAATATCATAGTGCCACTTAATTTCAAAGCCTATAGAGGAAATGATGCAAAGAACAGAAATTAGCAGGTACTGCTAAAATGTTCCTTAATAACCCCCTAACATTTCCAGTTATGAAAAGATTTATTGACCTTTTCCTAAAATAGAGTCTTCTTCAGCTGAAGTAGTTGAGACAGGCAGAATATATGACATGAAGGAAAAAAACCCCTCCAGAAAAATTAATGTTCTCCCGTCCAGACCCACAGGAATCCAGTAACAGAAAAGAGATTGACCTCATCATAAAAGGATGGAGGACTGGATGTCATTATTCAAGTTCTGGTGCCCAAGGTATGGGTGATGAAAAAGACTTGGTAAATTAGAAGTTAAAAAAGTGGACCCATACAGGTCATTTCTGCTAAATGTCTCTGAAAAAAAGGGCATAGGAAACCTCTGAAGTGTGCACATTAAGCAAATCAGTGTAAAGACACATTTGTGAGGTTAGCCATTTATGTTCAAAATTATGTATTTTACATATTCAGCAAATGAATTTTCAGAC